ATCACTTAAATTATAGCTGTAATTTGACACCACCAGAGAGGTTATAAGAAAAGAGGAAAAAAGCCAAGCTTATAAAGTAGCACCAAAGTGCTCACCTGTAAATCATGCTTAAAGTGATAGGTAGCCTTATTATGGCTGTTCTTTGTAGCTGGTTTGCAAAAGAGCATGGCTTTTTCGTAGAGAAAGATGTGCCTGCGACGCGGCCGTATCCTGAGACGAAGATCCCGTTTGTTCTCCGACGCAACCAGGAATGAACCTTGCATTAGTAGTTCTCCTTGTTGACTTAGGTCCACCTGAAGAAAGGTAAATTATGGATTTTGGACAAACTATCCAGGTGATTGATGTGAAGTCACTTTATCTTAAGTGAATGAACATTATTAATTAGCCGTGTACCAAAAAATAGCATTATAAACGAAAAAACGGCATAATTAGTTTCCAATATCGGTAAACTTTTGTTTATGCAGGATATGAAACTATTTTTCCGGATTTAAATCGCGTATATTTGTTTCAAACAAATCGACGTTCGAGCCCTTTATAGGCCCCATGGTCAAGGTTGACTGAGGTGGTATAATCTTCAATCAGTTATGTCTAATATTAATGCAAACAACCCTATTTTTTCACTATAGTTATTAATTAAATACCGTATTTTTAATTTTACAAAGAAAACATTCCAATTTACGCTACATTAAGTTTTACTAATTATTTTACTGAATGAATTTTTATTAAATTCAATTTATCATTAATTAATAATATAAATTAGAATAAACTAAAACATATTAATTAGTAGTGGAGTCTTATGTCTATATGGGACTTTTCATCAGAGGAAATACTTGATCCCAAACTGGTGGTACGGAGAAAACATCTTCCCTGTTGAAATTAGGATGTTTTTTAATTTCAATGGACTCTCGCAGCATCCTGGGTAGATAACGGACTTCTTTTGCAAGGACCTGGGGTTTGTCAAACTTCATTGAATGTGTAGGTTTATCCATGACATGCTCGCAGACTGCAAACTTGTTCACGCGACGGTGTTTGACATCTCTTGACATTTTGTTTATGTAACGATAGATATAAGAAGTTTACGTACTATCTATTATTGAACAGAGAAATCGGATATTTAAATTTCTAATATAAATACTAAAAGCATTCGAATAACTTACTGGCACTCCAGTAATAGCGATCTGATGCATGGAATCATTGACGCATTTGAGCACGACCAGCATGCAGTCCAAGGCTTCTTGTAGGCCTGTGCTCATTGACCCACATTCACCATATCGTAGCAGGTCCTGAAAGAAAGAAATATTTCTCAAAACCAGAGAACATAATCTAGCAACATTTTTAAATACAGCATTTTAAACTTTTTGGGTACCTATAGGCATGATTTTCACAAATTCACAGAAATGATAAAGATACCTTGAGCAGCAGCTGATACTTTGTGATCCTCTGTACAGGCTTGAGCAGGTACGCAGCCAATGGCAGTTTGTGACCGAGTCTGAGCTGACACGCTTGCAGGAAGAGATGCGTGTCCACCAGTGTCTCGCGGAGCCGCTCTGAACGTGGGATGTTCTGACAGTAATAGCTGTATAGGCGGAAGAATGTCTCTCTCTGAAAAAAATAAACGGTACTGGTTAATAAATAAGTTTTATTAAATGAACGAACATTGTCAACTGACAGGAACAGTTAACGTTTTAGTTTTACCTTTTCAACGAAACACAATGCGACGAGTTCTGTGGCTGAGATCGACTTTTCGAGGTCTTTAAGGAACACGTCCTGGTGAAATGTGAACAGCTCGTGAAGGTTGCCAAACAGTACGTCTGCTTGGCCGACCAGTGCAGCTGGGAGCAGATGCTGGTTTTCTGGTTTCTCGATTTCCTCTTTATAACCCTGGAAATAAAGGGATATTGGAATAAACTTTAGCGATTAGCAACAATTTTGTATGTTGCTATGTATAATCACTTGAAACGCTCAAATACAGACTATGGGAGGAACAGTTACCGAAGAAAGGTAAGATGAGCAATGGCTAATGGTATCACACCACTCTTGTAAACGTTTGTCGTAATCCTCGTAAATAGCTTCCAAACATTCACATTCCGAAGCAGTCAAGGTTTGGTCTATTTTCCAGAACTTTGATTTCTTTTTCAGCTTCTGCAATGTGGACGACCAATTACTAAAAGTATGGTTTCGACCTAAACTCTGAGTTTTCCTTTGATCTAACGATTTAGATTTTTTGCATTGTTTCGTGGTATAAGCATAACTATAATGCCGGTTAGTTGCCGTCTTGGCGCACCTGCTGGGCCTTCTGCACGATAACGTTGAATGCAAACTTCTAACATAACTGTCTGTGTTGCTTTTCCGGCATAATGACGAGCCTTGTTTACTGCAGTGTGATATTGTGGAATAGTGATTTGTTATAGTATTGTTCCACTCCTTCATTATCTTTTTGTAATCTTTCAGTATATTTGACAAGACTTCTTCTGAAACTTTGCTACTACACATAGTATTCCGTAACTCCGTGCAACTGGAGGATTTCAGTTGAGAATCCTTGGAATTTCCCGAATCGGTGAGGTATTCAGGTGTCGATATTTGTACATCTGCTTCAATACATCCATAAAGCGGATTTTTAACGAGTTCTGGAACATCAACCACAGTTGGAGCTGTCGTGAGAGACTCCGCGGTAGTGTCTTCTGAGGCAGTCACAATATCGGAATCCGGTAAATACGATATTTTCTCCTCAGTCTTTTGCGTGTCCTCGTAACCAGGTAGAGGTTTACCGTAATAGAAGTTTCCAATGAACGGTTCCATGTACACGGGTTTGAACGTTCGCGGATTGTATTTGACACGTGTATTTTTGCTAACGTCGCTCACTGATTTCTTACACTTTTTAATCGATTTCTCTTTTTCGAACATCGAAATTTGGTTTGCATAGTCACTGAAGAGCGTTGAATCGGAGGCCGCTCTAGTGAGGCGTTTAGTCTTCCGGGTGGTGGGGTTGTCATTCTTTCTGTAGTACCACGAGTAGGAGGTGCCGACACTGATGTTCGCGGATGATTTATGGAGGTCGTATTTTCCATATTTCATGGTGCAGAAAGCAGCGAGTTGCAACACGCGAGCGAGAGACTGCACTGACTTGCAGTTGGTGAGTGCGTAGCGTGCATTGCGTTCCGGTCCGCGGAGCACCGCGTTTGCTTGCGTGCGGTGCATCGATGCACCAGATACATACACCACTATGCAGCGCGGCTCGCCCGTGACTGTCCATTGGAAACGTTTACACATGCGGATCGCGGACCACTTACATAGAGATGACATGTTTGGTTTTCAGAGCGCGTAATGGTAGATATTAAGACATCATGCTTCATCGGATGCTTTGGAGTGTGACGTGAAGGATGGCATAACTATAACTAACATATGACAAATACGTCAGGTTTTTTTTAACGCACACACTCAACATAGCACCGCACTAGGGAATTCCTGTGTCGCGGGTGCCATGGACACACATACACACACATAGGCAACCACAAATTACACCCAAACTCACGAGAGAAATAAATGTAGACCATACTAATATTTCTCTCGGCCCGGGAATCGAACCTGGGACCTCTGCGTGGCAGTCCGGCATGGTAACCGTTCGGCCACGGAGGCAGTTTGAAGACGGTTTGAGACGGTTGAAGACATGATACGAATACGCGTCATAATTATATAAGCGTTTATTGGAGAAAGGGTTTCAATAGTTCTGAAGGTCATTAGAGCACTCAACTTACACTGAGTATAGAGCCAAGTTCTTGGACGTAGACTCTTTCCGTTTGCAGCAGCTCGGCCAACACGTGCCCGCGACGCGACCGCCGCGCCTCCGCATCTTCCCCTCCTGAACTCTCTGATCCGCCAGACGTTTCCATCTGTCGACAATATACAGAATATAATAGAGAATATAGTTTATGAATCGTAGGGAACGCTCTAGTACATATACTGCCTCATATAGACGATTAATTATTTTTTACCGAGTTTGCTCCACCAGGCAGGTGGAGGGACACTGTGCTGTTTTTTTAAATGCTACGATACCAACATATAGCTGAAGATGAGCGTAGAATTTTTGACGATATTCTATCTAAAGATGATTTTACCAACAAAGTTTACCCGACAACCAATCATGCAATACCTACCCGATAACTAAGACAGCTTATGTTGTCGTAATACCTTTTTTAAACCTCACCTTATTTGAAAATAGTTTCTTCTTAGGTACTTCATCCCACAAGTAATCGGAGGACAATAATCTCCGTCCGTATCTAGTATTTATAGCAGAAGCACTATTTGTTCTAAATTTAGTAAAATTCTTCATCATGATCTATTAAAAGCATAACAAATATTAAGTAGGTACTACAAATAATACTTCACTACATATTTAATCGCATCGTCAAAAGGTATAATAAAGTAGTGAAATCTATTCTTTTAGATTTAGATAATGATAACAGACGAATATACACAGAACACTATTTGTAGGGATTTAGCGGATTTTCTGAACATAGGCAGATTTTTGACATTTTTCTTGAAAGTTTGTTGACAGTTGCGTCCTAGTAAGTCTTGACAGTCACGCCATAAAAACGCAATACAAAAAGTTTCCAAGTTACTTATTACTTACATACATAACTTCAGAGTATTCTGTCTTGTTTATTATTTATTTCAAATTGGTATTATTATAAGAAAATAACTATAGAATTTACTAATACTGCCTACTATTTTCAATCATCTTTAAAATCTAATACACATTAAGACTATCTCAGCCTTTAGGTTGAGATTTATAAAACGAACTTCGACTTCGATTAAGCAAAGATGGCACTAAGTAAGTTTTTCATACTTACAAAAACAAACTTTGATTAAGTTTTGAGCAAGAAATTAAATTGAACTTTGACTTTACTTCGTAGTTTCTTGCTTGAACTTAAGTAAAGTTCGTTTTGTAGATACGAAAAACTTGCTTAAGCTCTCCAGTTTTGCTTAGTTAAAGACTTGAATTTAATTCTAGAAATCTCAACCTAAGTATAAGTATAGGTACTCTTCATCCAATAGCATTAGTTTTTCATAAAATATTGTAATAGGTGATGCGGTAGAAATAGTGCTTCTTATGATAGAGCTCATCAAGGGAAAATCTATATCTAGTTCTGCTGCGCCGCCGATCAGCAATGTATTTGGGACTTGTCAACTTTATGTCATAGTGTGCTGGTGAAGTGTCAGTGCTGCATTTTTTGTAAAAAAAATGGACATGTTCTTGACTACTACTACCTAACTCTGGAGCAAAGGTAGGTTCTAAGATGGAACGAGTTCACCCAGAAGATGCCCATTCAGTCGCATCTTAAGGATACTCGGGTTGTATGTGAAAGTTGCAGGTAGTGAATTCTATTCCTGGGCTGTGCGTATAATAAAAGATGACCAAATTGATAAACCCCGCAGTGAATTGATGGAGCACATGGGCGCTCTCACCGAAATATATTCTGTTGAAAACCGACAGACAGGCGCCGGTGGGTTAAGTCATGAAGTTTAGATTCGAGCTTAACGTCGCCAATAAGTCTCCTGGCTCTCAGATCCTTGCTATTTAAAACTATGAGCGGCACTACAACTGTTATAGATAGGCGTGTCGCTTACCGCCAGCCACGCGACTTGTTCGTCCCGTGACTTGATATCAGAAAAAAAGTATGAAGCTTATACTCCAGGAAAAAAATTAAAAGGAATATTGGTGAGAAACTTCATTGATAATATGATTTTTCACAAACGTGTTAATTATATTCTTAATTATTACTTAGCAGAGAAACACAGCGGTAAAACATAATCCAGAGTCCAATCAAAGCATTTGATGTAACCTTTAATAGGTTTCTCACGGTACTGTTAGAATACATTTGCAATTACGATTTTATAACCGTTTCATACCAAGGCCAGGTCATACGAGTCCCACAGCTGATGCCCAGTGGTAGAATGTGGCGTAACAAAATTTACGCTTCATCACATAACAATTTTACATATATTGTCGTTTTCTTTCAGATTGGAATCGTGCATTTAAATAATAATTTGATGACCTCCGTGGTGGAGTGGCTTGTACACCAGTTTTCATGGTGTCCCTATCTGAGTACACCAGTTTTCATGGTGTTTCAATCTAGAAACGAACTTTTCTATATTGTCTCCCGGGTCAATGTAGAAAAGTTCTAGGTGTTTGTGGTATCGTCGTTCTTTCTGGTTTCCATAACACAAGTGCTTTAGTTACTTACTTTGGGATCAGAGATTTGTGTGATGTTGTCTAATAATAGTTAAATGTGCCAGAAAACTATGGACTCATTGTAGAAAATTCCCTATGCTATAACTAGCAGGACAGCGAAACTACCCACAACACTCAGACCAGCATCAACTTTGATAAGTTGGTTTCCCAAGTTGGTGCTACTGGAAATCGTACCTGGAACCTCCTCAACTAGCGTCCGCAATGGTAACAGTTAAGCCACAGAGGTCGTAAATAGATATCATCGCCAGTAGTAGATTCGTAAAAATTCAAATTATAAAAAAATTCGAAAATGTCTTCTAAGTACTTAGTACCTAAGGAAAGTAAATTAAGACATATGATGTACATAGGACATCACATTTCTGTCCTACACAGGTGATTTTCAACTTGTTCAATATCCTACTTTAATTTTATTTAAGGAAAACATTCACTGTGTAATTAATTATTTTTTTATTTAATCAACTTACAGGTTTGTGTTGAAAAGTCCTGTCAGAAAAGTCCTTAAAAAGTTTGTATCCAGCTTTTAACATCACATTTAGCGCATACATTCCTCACAGTGAAAACAATGACTTGTCTTTTTCAATTACAATATACATAGCACAATAAACACACGTTTTCACATAAAATCAACTATATAGTTAGAAATGCTAAGCGTTACAAATGATAGAACTTGGTCATTACGAAAATATCAGCGTAACAGTAGACCGCGAAATTAAGAACTAGGTATGCGATCACAGATTTTAAAAATAACAATTAACGTACAACTTAGTTCGTAGCAAACAAGAACACATGCTGCGTTATAAGGAACTGACGAGCCGGGATGCGAAGGGGCGCGGGAATACGTTGGGACCGTAAAAAAACTCGTTGCCTCCACTTTTGTACAACCGGCTGAACTGGTGCTCTACTTCGACTTTACTAGAACTGCTATAATATGTTGACCTGTGACAAGTTAAAAATTCACAACTACTTGTATTCTGCTAGTGCAGATTTTGAAAATGAAAAACCTTTCATATATCCATTAAACCTTGTATTATGATTGAGGAATCCGTGTCCCTTTTGTCTAGCAAGAATTGTACGTATAATTTGATTTATTTTCACAAAAACGAAACGTAATACTTAACTTTTAACTTTCTCATAAGTCATATCTCATATAGGCATTAGCTGTAAATTATGTGGCGAATATTTAATTTATTAATGTAGGTTATCCATCAGAGTTCTCTGAGATATAGTCAGAGTTTATTGATAAATGGTCGTAATTTTGTACCCTACATTTAAAAGTATCACATCATTTAAAAAAGCTAGCGAATTAATGTTAATTAGCTGCGGGTGCATTTCGGAGAGATTTTGAGTTTCGTAAACGGTATCTGCGGAGATAATTTTCGTGTCAATTTTCAGATGTACATTCCTTAGGGCTGGATTTTAAGTCTTGTAGTGTATGGATTTGGTCATCGTCAACCTAATTATACATCCCACTCGGGGCACGGGTCTACTACAAAGGGTTTAGGCCTAATTCCGCCTCGCCAGCCCAAAGCGGGTGGGGGATTTTTCATGTTTACCAAGAGTAGTGAACCTTATTCGACACGTGGCTCAATGTTTTCCTTCATTGTTAGCGAGACCTATTGCCATTAGACAGTCACAAATGTGCATAACTTAAAACTGATAGATACAAGCCACCACAGAGATTCGAACCGTTTCTCGATTTCTCAATAAATAAGCACCGTTTTCCAACCGTCTTGTATGTATGTGCGTACTTGATATACTATAATTTCAAGTGAATGTAATGCAAAACCAACCAAACAGTACTTTAACTCGGGGCCTGAGACAATGATTATTGCGTGACTTCAAGCTTATGGAAGACATTGTATCGAATTCAGTATGTGAGATGGAATTGCATGATTTAATTCCGTCTTACCCTTTCCATTATCGGGGTACATAGGATTCGGTTTCGCTCACTTATATTTTATAAAAAGAATTGCTGTATTTGGTTAGTGGTAGAAAAATTACGATAAAATATCACAAGGTTACTTACGGTCAATAAACTAAAGTAAACAATTGGTTAATAAACACAATCTACATCTAAATTTGGACACAATATTTGACATTTGAACGGTACTAATCGCATTAAGAGCGGAAAGAATGAGGAAGGGAATTCCGTCGATACGACGTTAATATAAGAGCTAAATCCGGATAATTGGCTCGCTGTTCGGTAATAGATTTCTGAGTAATTTGTTTTAAAAGGGTTTTAGTGTTAAATTTAATTGAAAAAGTTGAATAAAAGAAAGGAAATTTTTCAAATCCAAAATAAAAATAAAAATTTAAGGCACTAAACTAACATAAGAATTAATAATAATAGCATTTTGTTATTGTACGAGTATCTAGCAGTAATTTGACTACAACATGAAACTACTAGGCAATTTTTCAAATAAAAGATAGAGAAGAATTAAGTCACTGAATAGCTAACATATTTTGTTATTGTACGATTATCTAGTTGTAATTCAAGCAGCAAAATAGTCCTTTATAACAATTAACTAAAACATGAAACTACCTAATTTTTTTACGTTAACTTTCTTCTGAGATGTTTACATAAGTGAGCCATTTTAAGAAGTAGAGCCCCATTCCTTACAAAACAACGGCAGCGGT